TTTACTCCCTTAAGCAAAACCTCACCAAAGCTTAATTTAAGGAGCTCAAATTTTTTGGGATATAACCTCTTCAAACAAGATATTAGCCTCAATAAAAAACAAAAAAAAAATCTAATTGGGCCTCTACACAGTTGAAAAAAAAATTGTCTCAAGAATGAATAAAGACTGTCCAATTTTTAGAGGGTGAGATCTAAATATTAGAAAACTCAAATTTCAAATTTTAACTTTTGAAAATAATCATCTAGTGATTATTAAGTGGTTCTCAAAATTTTAAATTCAAAAAAATCCTTCTAAGTAAGTATTTTTACCGAGAGAATAAACTTATACTATACTCCCATGGGAGCACATGCCCTTCTTTAGTTTGGTGTGGGGTTTATCCATCTCCCTCCTTCGTAGGGCAACTTAGGGGGGAGAAAAAAACTGTCAAGGGAGGGGTGCTCCTCGTAATTTTTTAGAAAAAAAACATCAAATAGTTGTAAAATGGTACAAAAGGTGTCCATACGTAAAACCTTCTAATAAAAATCATTAGAAAAGTAAAGAAGATGTGAAAAAAAATAAAATATGGATAATTAAAATTTTTGATTTATGTTTTGAATATTTCAAAAAATAAAAATTTAAAAACTATTAAAGATCCCAAATCATCCTAGAAATTATTAAAATCATTTCTAAATAATAAATTTGTCATTTCTGTTTTTTAAGATTTTTTAATATTTTTAATATTTTACTATTTTTTTAGGTTTTTTTGTGGGGAGCAAGCTAGGCACCCAACTTGGCTGAACTCGCATCGCAGCTAGGGAAAGACCGAGTTACCCGGCCGATGTAAGAGAACTTGGCCAAGTCATGGAACACTGTTTTGAAGATTTTGGAGGTGATCGTGCAGAGGTTGAAAAGGAGCTATAGAGTGGTCCCTCATCAACACCCAATTCTTTTTCATCATTGACATTTATACGAACCTATGTACGTTGAGTTGGGTTTTGTTGCTGCCTCTTTAATTGGTGGCTCCGCACCTCCTTTCTCCTCTGTCTCTCTCTAACAATAGAATCAAAACCTGACCCATCCTTTTTTCTCTAATAATGGAATCAGACCCCAAACCCTCAGCCCCTGGAAAAGTACTATGAATCGGTGTTTGATTGAATAACTCGGGCTGAGTACTCGGCCCACACCCGAGCCAAGTTGATGCAATTGAGATGATTGCGTTCGAGCATGTGGAACTTTTTTTAATTTGTTTTCAAGATGATTTAATTTGTTTTCAAATGAATTTTTTAGAAGAAATAAAAGATTATTTAATTTGTTTTCAAATGAATTTTTTTTTAAGATCTTTTTTGGTAGGGCCGTTTTTTTTTCTCTTTTAAATGAATTAGTTTAGGAAGGTGTTTGTGTTTTTATTGTAGAAGTTTTGGTCATAGGCCATGCTTTACTATTAAGATCAGGAGTAGCTTTTATTAGGGGCACAAGTGCATTTTATTAGTGGATAAGACCACGTTTTATTCAAAGATAAAATAAACCTTTAAGAGGAACGGTGGGCGTGAATTGTTTAAAAGCACAAGGTGGAGCATACATTGCACCCGTAGTAAACTTTCTTTTTTTTTTTCTTTTTAATTGATGGTGAAATAAAGTACGAGTTAGATAGAGAGAAAAAAAAAAACCTTTTTGTGGATTTTCTTTTCTTCCTTCTTGTGTTTGTGAGTGTTTATCGGAAGACTAGGATCCGCACATTTCACTATTTTTTTGCTGATTTTTTCTTAAATTTTTTGTTTCTCTCTCTAAAACATAGTTGGTTTTGCTGGATGTTAGTCATCGGTAATTTCCAGCAGTGTCACAACTACTCAACCGGAGTACGACTAATTCGGCTTGAGTTGAGTCGGTTACTATTCAAGCTAAAAAATGTTTTAAATATTTTAAAAACAAAAAAAATAAACAAATAAGAAATATTCACTTAAAATAAAATGGACCCGGTTTCTATATAGCCAAGCCTGCATATGTAGAAATGCGGGCCTAGTAATAAATCTATTTGTGAGATGGATTTTTTGACTTAATTTTTAAAGACACGTAATCTCTAATATGGAGATCATGAATATGAATAAATAGATAAATTTTAAAAATTAAAAATAATAGTTCTAGTAAGAAAACATTTGGACCGCTAATTTTCACTATTTTTAGATGGAACACATATTTGCATCCATTTTTAAGATGGATGCTTTACACTTTTTGGACTGCATATGTAGTCATGCAGCCCAGCTCACATGAAACAATTTTCCAAAACCTTGAAAAAAGGCATATTTGAAAAGAAAAAAAAATAATAAATAAATAAATAAGAGGAGAGCAAGAACCTCCGCATAAATACTGAATATTTTAGGACCGTAAGAATAGTCGTACGGACATAAATTGGCCTTTTGCTTTTTAGGGCCCACCATTTGGAGGAGACATTGATTGACAAGGGGCCACTAAGGAACATAGGATACATACAAATGCTTTGAATTAGCTTAGGGTGCACATGAGGTACACCCGCAAGACCAAGATGTACATTTTGTCTTGTGGACAAAACTTGTTGGGGATTTATATGATCTAAAACTTTCTCAAAATATTTTTGATGAATCCTAAATCCAGTTTAGAAAAAAAAAATCTCAAAATTTGCATGTCTCTCATCCAATGGGTCGTGACTCGCCAAAGTCCACCCGCACTCCCCAAGAGGCGACACCGAGTTACCCCAAAACTCATGAATACAAAAAGATCTTTCAAAAAAAATTTAAAATTTTAAAAAATATAGTATTATTTTATAATCTTTTTGTGTATGATTGGACGTACTTGACAAAGATTGTGGGTGTTTTTTTACCATAATCACTATTTTATATTTTCGTCTTTTTTTTGGAATTTTTAAAATGTCCGCAATTGTAAATCATTTATTTTAAAATCTATTTTTCTCTACATTTTTAAGCTTGCTTTAACTTTTTAAAGTTGATTTAAGTTTCAATTTATTTTTTCTCTGCATTTTTAAGCTTGCTTTAACGGTTTAAAGTTATTTTAGGTTTCAATTTACTATTACTATAAATTTTAAACTTTTTCAAAAGATTTTATTTTTTAAACCTTTTTAGTGCCAAACGAATCTATGCTAAACTCGGCGATTAACTCACCCCTGGCAGAGGCAAGTCCTGGCACATTGCTCTCATCCTGAACAATCTAGATTCAATCCTTGACCATATTTTGATCTCGATACTTCTCCAGCTTAAGTTCGTTTTTACCAAAGATCGATATAAACACGATTTTAGAATTTTGGGGTCTTTTTCTATTTAATATTAGGGCACCAATCTTAAATAATCAAAATAAGACGTATAAACCAAAGCACCAACCTTAAACAATCAAAATAAGGATGGCCTCTAAATTGTACCAAAAGATGTTTTGGTACCAAAACCCTCTGCAAATGGCCTAAAAATCTAGTTTCACCATTAATCATAAAATCTAGAGGTTAAAAGATAATGTAGATAGAGTAGATCTATAAATACTTGAAAATCTTGAACATAGGCCGGTTCGGAACAACTTTTTCTATTAGTTTTTCATATGCATCTTACTTCTACAGCGAAACGTTTAACCCCTAATATAAACGTTTCCCTTTATTAAATTGTCATTTGTCGGATTAGCTATTTCGGATGAGTTGCATACTCTTATGTAATGATGTATTTCTTTGATTAATATATTATTGAATATTGTCAAAAAATAAATCATATGTCCATACATTTCTAACACAAAAATACCTCCTCAATAGCCTATAAAAATAACATGAATGAAAAGGAACACAAGGTCGAACGTTTGAAAAATGATTGAGGTCGATCTGGATAAGGAATTGTTGGTCACTGGTCTGATTCCTGATTGAGTCATTGAGTTGGCTCTGTTCATATGATTCACATGTAGAATGACTTAAATCTATGTTTGCATCTAGTTTTTTTCATTTGAAATATATTAAATCATCAGAAAACATATGTAAGTCTTCTCTTTTTCTTTTTTTTTAATTATATCTTTGATTCTTTTAATTTGGATCTGAAATCTGGCCAATCCGGATCAAAATCAACGAGTAGCAATCCACTTTAAGAAAGGGGTTGGGGTTGGGTTGTGGTAGTATCACCCGAGTTACCACGTAGTGGTTTTCAATCCCACTAACAACACTCATTGACACCTTCAAAAAAGCTAACTCCCTAATTTATCTGAAAAAACCAGGTATGGTCTGTCTTTCCCCGCTGAATTATCCAAAATAAAAAAGACAAAATTGTCAACTTTTAAATATCCAAAGCCAATCAACAAAGTGCTTATAGATATTTAGAACAATAATCCAAGACTAGCCTCATTTCTTCAACGGCTAGGATTGTTCAAGTCCTAGATTATCTCTGACCTGTAGAAAGAGTATAGTTCACCGTCTCTTTTATCTACACATGAGCTCCCACATGTGGAGAGAGGGGCAAGAAAGAGGTACCATCACTTTTGAGCATCCTTTTATCCATGAACCATGCACTTTTGCAGAATTGCATACAATATAATTACTTAAGTTTATATATAAAGGTTACAAACATCCTGAGCTGTCATATGTAAAATTAGATAGTCATAAAATTTTATATTGCTGAATTTTTATGTTGCTTTTGGTTTTGTTTATTTTTTTCGAATATTTATTTTGTTTTTAACTATATTTAAATTTCTTTTATTTTTAAGGCCTTTTGAGCATTGTACATTACTCAACCGAGACTCAAGCTCAGTGACTTACTCTGCCCGCAAAAGGGCGGCGAAATTCGAGACCCGAGCCGAGTTGTAAAACATTGACATTAAATTACCCGCCTAGAGGGAGAGATTCATAACACAATATAAACAATCATTACTAAATCCAATATCATGATATTAGCATTAACATTACCTAACAAGAGGGAGAGCATAGGGCGAGCAAGAGAGAGAGAGATGTTGTTTTAAAAAAAAAGATTCATAACAATATGATAAAACATAACTTGAATCCTAACCGAGTATCATGCCATCATTTACACTTGACTTTACATAGCCGGCTTAAAAGCTAAGATCACATTGAACTTTTCTCAAAGGAGAAATAACAATAACATAATCTCCACTCACCACAAATCCCTTATAATCCTACACATAAGTACCAAGAAATAATGGCCCCTTGCCATTTTTATCATCTTTCCTTTTATTTCGATTTCTTTTTCACTTAAACCCTACACATAAGGAGCAAGAAATAATGGACCCTTGCCATTTTTATCTTCTTCCCTTTTATATGGATTTCTTTTTACTTGATAAGTGATACGCACACTACTTTTTTTTTTTGTGGTTTTTCTTTTTGTTTTTTTTTTTTTCTTTTGTTTGTTTTTTTTTGGGGGGGTTGGGGGAGGAGGCGGGTGAGGTGTTGAAGAGCTTGACATGTGTGTTATTTGACAGAAAAAGTCAAACGCCTAAGGGTATCCATGCCATTTCTAGAAAGGACAAGGGATCACATTTTATTCACATCTTTATATGATATAAAGCTCTCTTATTTTTGAGGTGGGTAGTCACTCTTATTCTACTTATTAATTATGGCATGGCACGACAACGTAAAGTTCATGGCTCCTCCTTATAGTTCCACAAATTGTCATCTCCACCACCACAACCCTCCTCCTCACCTAGCCTTGGAGGACTGAGCATCAAACCCTCAGCCATGCTCACCAGCAAATTTGGCATATCAAATATCAATTCCTCATCCATGAATTCAGTCATGTCTGAATCTCCGGACTCCCCAAAAACCGGAAAATCTGATGAATCGCCGGTGATGTTCGGATCACCAGAAGTCGTTTGCGCAGTCATCGTCGAATCTGTTCCTTTGAGTGCAAAACCTGGGTTTCTGGATCCAGAGAGTGCTTCTGCAGCAGAAGCGGCTGCGGCGCGGATGTCAGAAGAGGAATTTGTGGATGGAGAGGGGAGATCTGCTATAGAGTCTGGAAAGTTTAGTGTCGCACCATGTCTTCCCTTTAGGGCTAGCGCCGCTACATCGTACGCTACGGCGGCCATTTCCGGGGTGGCATATGTCCCGAGCCATATTCGTGTTGATTTTCTGGGCTCACGTATCTCAGACACCCATTTCCCGCCTTTTCTCTGTCTCACACCTCGATAAATGGGGTGGCGCCCGGATTTGGCACCACCACTGCCGCCGGTGGACTCAGGCATGTCTGATGGGTTCATGAATAAGAGAGAGATGTGAATGTGAATCTAAAGCCCTCTGCCTAGCTTCTTGAGCTTGGAAATGGATTCATGGAGGAGGACAGGGAGAATCTAAGCATGACCTTAAAACCCTAACCCAACTTTTAGTGGCATTAGCTGGATACATGAGAAGCAAAGAGAAACCGAGAGCTTAATCTTGAGCCCCTATGCCTAGCACTTAGAACTTGTTGATGAATTCAAAGAGTAAGAGAGAGAGGAAATGTGACCTCAATACCAAGGCCCATATGGATTCATGAGTGACAGAGAAGAATTCAAAACCCCATATGCCTAACTTCTCATGCTTAGAGATAGATTCATGAGGAAGAAAGAGGAATGGCAAGCTCAATCTCAAGGCCACCAGGCCTAGATTTTGGATCATGTAGATGAATTCATAGGATCGAGAGAGAAATTGTAAGCTTAATTCAAAGGTTACTATGACTGACTTTTGGAACTTGTGGCTATTTGGTGCCATGAAAATTGCAGAGCCTGTGGTATTTAAGGGTTTAGGGTGAAAATTTGAGAGGCTTTGAATGAAAAGAGTGGAGGGATACAGCAGTTTGGAGTAGTAAGCAATGGTGATTCCTGCAAATGCCTTGCTGTTGAGCAAGGACCTCAGACATCAATTCTTTTTGCTCCTTGTCTTTTTAGTTTTTTCTAGTGTGATTTGGTTGTACGAATGGCGCGTTCATGGGATAATATAATGCCTTGCAAATGCTTTGCAGTTGAGCAAGGACCAGAGACAGCCATTCTTTTTCTTACTTTTTTTTCTTTTTTTTAATTTGCATATGTATTGTTTAGCGTGTTTTGATTGTACAAAGGCCGTGTTCCGAGGAATAATATAAAAGAAAGTACAACAGTTTTTACATTATCCACCTTAATATATTATGTCTTTAAATTTTCAGCCGGATTGATCTATGTGTGCTCCAGTTTTGGGGGATCAATAAGATACTTTTGTGATGGGAGTTTTGATGAGTTCTTTCATGCATATTGAGAGAGAGAACAACTAACTTACGGCTAAACTGCCTAGGGATGGCAATGGACCTGGACCAGACCCGGGACCCGAGGGGTAGACCCGATATGGGTTTAAAAATTGGACCCAGTATGTTTGGTCCAGGTCCAAATCTTGGACCCGAATACTATTTGGGTCCGAGTCCGATCAGGTCCGGGTCCAGGTCTAGAAATAGTTTTCGGGTCCCCATATATAAAATATTTTAAATGTAGTTAAATACATAAATATTTTAATTTTTAGATTAGGTCTAGATATGGGACCCACACTATATTTTTGGGTCTGGGTCCGGGTTCAAGTCCAATTGGGTCCAGGTCCCATATCATTTTTTCAGGTACGGTCTGTAGCATTACCACCCCTGATGGCAATCGGCCAGGTGGCCTGGCCCAGCCCTAAAACGTTAGGATCTGGGCGAATAAATGTGGCCAAAACATGGTGTCAAACACTGTTGGAAAAACCAGTCAATCTAATCGGTAACCACCCGATTAGATCGAAACCATCTACTGGCTGGTTCCCGTTTTGGCCGGTTTGGTGATCGGCCAGTATTTAAAAAAAAAAATGTATATAAATTCTTAAAAATATAGAATTTGGTTTGTAACATATTTTTTAATATTCTTTATATTATGATAAAGATTAAAAATTATTTTGATCATTAATACTCACTTTTATATTTTTCCATCTTTTTCAAAACAAATTAAAAATACCCCCAGGTACAAATCAATTTTTTAAAATTCATTTTTTCATTAAATTTTCAACTTCATTTGAATTTGTTTTATTTTAATCATTGCTTATGTGCTTTTTATATTTTAGTTGATTTTTTTTATCTTTTTTATTTTTTTTAACACTTTTTTCACCGCCCGGGACTTGCTCGATTAGAACAGTTGAATCAGCCGGTTTACTGGTTAGGCCGGTTAAACCGCATTCGGGCCCATGTCTGATTAACTGTCCCGGTTCGGTTTTGCAAACACTGGTCAAGGCCAGGCTACCACAGCCCAAGGGTTGGGCCGGGCCAGTACCAACTTGATTCAACCTAGCCGGGCCTTTTTATTCTTTATAATTTTTTATTTTGTTCATTTTCCTTTTTCATGTGGCCTGCCCAGGCTGGATAAGGCTAGGGCTTCTTTGGCCCGTCATGACCAGGTCGGGCCTACGCTAGCACTTTGGGGATCACTGCCGGCCCATGCCCGACACATTGCCAGCCCTAATAACTGCCTTCTAATTTTAAAAGAGCCGCATTACACATGGCAGATACTTTGGTTGGAAAAATAAAATAAAAGAAAATGAAATATCACAAATTTTACAAGTTTAATGATATATCCCCTGCTGTTTGGATTTTAGGAAAAGTATATAGTAGGAGCATGCGTCATCTTTGTTACATAGAGGTCACATGACCGTTAGATGTGAAATCGGATAGCTGGAGATGTGTTATTTTACCAGTCTTCAAATTTAAAAAGAAATTCGAACTTACAACACACTCTAAACTATCGAATTTTATATCTGATGGCTAGGAATGACTATGACCTTCTATTCTAATACGACACACTCTAAACTATCGAATTTTATATCTGATGACTAGGGGTGACTATGACCTTCTATTCTAAAGGTAAATGGTCTTACTTCATACGGAGAATTCTACATGAACAATCTCGAATTCTACATGTACAAGGATGGAATTCTATATGCATGTGAGTCTACGTAACATGGATGTGCATGTTTAATGGTTTAGGTGTGTGCCTCAAAAAAAGAGCCCCGGCTTAATTGGTTAATGATTGACAATTTACAACACTACATCCTAAGTTCAATTCCTACCAGGGTAGAAGTCCTTTCCCCACTGAATCACCCACTAAATCACCCAAAAAAAAAGGGTGCCTGCCTTAGGACTAACCCCAAAAATTTGGCAAGTCTTAACACAGGCCACAAGCTTCCTATATATTTTTCATTGAGACTCGGCATATTCGAGCTAATCCACTCAATCGAGTCGGACTCTCAGTCAAGCTTGGTACCCTAACCCGTCCCAAATCTAATCTAGGTTTACAAACATGCAACACACTTAAAACAAGATTCTATATTCGATTTTGTATTTGAATATAGAAATTTAGACGGTTTTTAACATTTTTTTGACATCTCACAGTTAATCTAATTAGGTAGTAATAGGGTCGCTATGGTCATGTAGTGACGGTGCTGGTGGTAGGTTTGTGGTGGTAGAGTGTTTGTAGTGAAAATAGGTACACGGTAGTGGCGGTGTAGTGGTGGCCATGGTGGCAGTGGCGGTGGTGGTTGTAGTGGCAGTTTAAGTGGTATTAGAGTGTGGTAGTAGAGTGGCGGTGGTTGTGGTGCTGGTGGTAGTGGCGGTGGTGAAGGTGGTGGCAGCTATACGGGGTAGTGATGGTGGTTGAGAAGGCATAATGGTGGCGCAACGGCGGTGGTAGTGGCGAAATGGCAGTGGTGGTGGCAATGGTGGTGTTGTTGTTGTTGTTGTTGTTGTTGTTGTTGTGGTGGCAGTGGTAATGATGAGAGAGACTGCTAAATTAGATTTTTTTGCAAAACAACAGTAAAAAAAATTCAATTTAGGGGCTCAAGTGAAGTTGGGAATCAATTTTGAGTGAAACAATGTCCATGCATACATAAGTAAAATATAATATTTTAATAGAAATAATTGTATAGAAGTACGTGGTTACATCAAGTTTTTCAAACAACACTTGTGGCATTCATAAATATTAATATCATATATGTGTACATCGAGCCTTCTCGCAAAATATGGATATGTCTAGTAGAATTTAATTTAAACAAAATATATCAGATTTGGGCATGTATGGTGTGTATATGTGAGAAAACTAAAGTACAATATAATTCATATCATGATTTACGTGGTTCACAATTTCAAATTATATATGCAAAATAAAAAAAATTTAAATTCCACTAATAAAAAAATATTAAAATCCACTAATAAAATAATAAGGGTACAATTTTTCTTCTAAGAGGCAAGTTTTCCTTGGGCTAAAATATATCTTGTTTCTTTTAAAGGTTTTTCTCTCTCCAGGTTTCTTTGTCTAAGATTCTTCTCTCTCTTGGGAGATTTTTAATATCCATACATACAAACTCTCTCTCTCCTTTCTTCCCAAAGAGGCACACACCACTTTTTTAACCTAAAAACCCTAATATCTTTATGTTGGGGTTTTATACACAACCCAATAAATTGGCCTCCAATGGCTTATATATCTTAATAAGCCCTAATCAATAGGGAGTACCATAAAGGTCTCTTCCCACATGGGACAGATTCTTCCAATACCAAAGTTCAAAAAAATAGATCGGTAAATTAGATCGGCCACCCCAAAATTCAAGTAAGAGAATCAGCCAATTTGGGCCTATAAAAAATTAAAAAAATACTAAAAACTCATAAATATAGTATTTTTTTGAGTTTCAAAACAATTTTTGGGGCGACGCATTATATACTTTTATTATTTTACGAAAATACATGAATACTGAGATGTTTTTTTCCCTATCTAGATGTCTATAGACCATTGAATATTTTAGGGTTCTTTTTTCCTTCTCATTGTCTTAATTTCCTTTTATGTTGTTGTTGTTGTTATTATTATTATTATTATTATTATTATTATTATTATTATTATTATTATTATTATTATTATTATTATTATTATTATTATTATTATTATTATTATTATTATTATTATTATTATTATTATTATTATTATTATTATTATTAT